TCTGTTTCTTGTTATATAATACTTACATAGCTTCAAAATGTTGCCTTTTGTCACATAAAACCAAAAATACTTACTACTGGTTTTCTACAAAAAAAATTCACCCATCTCTTGTCTAATCTATTGCTTCTAAAGCTATAAACTTTCCTGGATAAAATACAATATAAGCCTTTTTATATAAAACAGGTAATAACAAAACAAAAAGGTGTGGGAGGGAGTGGATATGATATCTGTATCTAAATTATACTAAGTTAGTTAGAATGAGACATATTATAGAAGATACATAGAATTCAAATTCTAAAACAAGAAAGCCAAGAAATTTCAAAAATCTATTCTATCTACCTCAACCCTTTCTTTAAAGGTTCATGGGTGTATCCTACAATTTAGTTGCACAATATTTAAACAACTTAATTTTTTGCATGAAGTATCTTAATTCCCTGACCAGAGATCTAACCCATGCCCCCTGCATTGGGGAGCTCAGAGTCTTAACCACTGGACTGCCAGGGAGGTTCTTAAACAACTTAATTTTCACGTAATACCTGAACATACCTGTAGTCAGTTGGCTAGTGCTGCCAGAACGAGATATCATACACTAGGTGGCTTTCACAAGTTTATTTCTTACACTTCTGGAGGCTAGAAATCCAAGATCAAGGTGTTGACAGGTTTAATTTCCCCTAAGACCTCTATCCTTGGATTGTAGATGGCCAACTTCTTGCTGTCTTCACCCTTCTTCTCCTCTGTGTCTCTATAGACATAGTGTCTTGTCTTCTTCTTACAAAGATAACAGTCACATAGGGCTTCCCTGGTGGCTCAGGCGGTAAAGAATTTGCCTGCCAATGTAGGAGACCCAGATTCAATTNATATTTGAAATTTAAAATGTTTCCAGACTTACTTTTAGCTAAAACTAAAATGTATGTACAATTGTTTGTGCTTAATATATATTTAAAGCTATAATAAAAAGAAAAATATTCCTCAATTTTATTCAAGAGTAGAGTTCAGTAGCATTAAGTACATTCACATTGTTATGTCACCATCAGCACTGTCTATCTGCAGAACTCATTTCATCTTGCAAAACTGAAATTCTGTACCAATGAAATTATAGCTCCTCATTCTCCCATCCCTCCAGACTTTGGTAACCCCATCCTACTTTCTGGCTCTCTAAATTTGACTGCTCTAGATAAGTTATACCCGCTCCAGTGTTCTTGCCTGGAGAATCCCAGGGATGGGGGAGCCTGGTGGGCAGCCGTCTATGGGGTCGCAGAGTCGGACACGACTGAAGCGACTCAGCAGCAGCAGCATCAGCACCACCTGGGAAGCCCATACTTTAGCCTTTAACTTCCTGTCTCCCTACCTTCAGTATCACTCCCATTCTATCAACCAGCACCTGGTCCTTAGAGTTATCATCCTAAATGCCAATTCTAATCTTTTCACTTGTGTCTGACACCTTCAGTGATTCCATTTTCTTCAGAATAATTTGAAAATTCCTTAAAAATTTATTAAATGCCTCTTATGATCTGACCTCAATCTGTCTTCTCCCCTGATACCTAAATAACTTGAGTTTCTCACCATTCTGAAATTTTTTCTGATACTCTCATGACTTTGTGCTTTTGCTCAGGTCATTCATGCTGCCCTCACCCTTCCTACTGAAACCCTTCTTTCTTTCTTAGTATTTATTTATTTATTGGCTGCACTGGGTCTTAATTGGTGCATAAAGGCTTTTTCTAGTTGCAGCAGGCAGGGGCTACTCTGGTTGCACTGTGAGGGCTTCTCATTGTAGTGGCTTCTTCCCTGGTGGCTTAGAGGTTAAAGCGTCTGCCTGGAATGCGGGAGACGCCAGTTCGATCCCTGAGTTGGGAAAATCCCCTGAGAAGGAAATGGCAACCCACTCCAATACTCTTGCCTGGAGAATCCCATGGAGGGAGGAGCCTGGTAGGCTACAGTCCATGGGGTCACAAAGAGTCGGACACGACTGAGCGACTTCCCTTTCACTTTTCTCTTGGTGCAGAGCACAGACTCCATGATGTGGGTTCAGTAGTTGTGGCTCATGGGCTTAGTTGCTCCAAGGCATGTGAGATTTTCCCTGACCAGGGATTGAACCATGTCTCCTCAATTGGCAGGAGGATTCTTAACCACTGGACCACCAGGGAAGTTCAGTCCTTCTTTCTTTAAATCATAGAATGATTTCTCTCACTTTTCCAGCTGGAAGTAGATTCTTCTCCTTTTAGAATAGCATTATAAGTCCACAAAAACTGAGAACAATTTTTTTTTTATCTTACCTCCCCAACTGCCCTAACGGACAGCTTTACGTATAGCAGTAACAGGGTAAATATGAAATCAAATGGACATTTTAGGTCTCTTTCTAGTGAGTTTTAGTGTGCTAAGTATAGATAAATTCTGTGAGGAATTTTATCTTCAAGGAGTGTGCGTGTTAGTCACTCAGTTGTGTCCAACCCTGCAACCCCACGGACTGTAGCCCACCAGGCTCCTCCATCCATGGGGATTCTCCAGGCAAGAATACTGGAGTGGGGTGCCATTCCCTTCTCCAGGGGATCTTCCCAACCCAGGGATCAAACCCAGGTCTTCTGCATCACAGGCAGATTCTTTACCCTCTGAGCCACCAGGAAAGTCACATCTTCAAGGTAGGTAATATTAAAATTCCTTTTTTCAATCTGAGCTATTAACAGAACCAAAATCTCTACTTCATTATGAATGGGCCTTCATGGAATTTAATTTAAAGTAATAATATGTTTTAAAATTCCTTAAATTTTCTGTTATTCAGATTTCCTCCTTTTTATATCTTCTGTTTCTTGAGGTCTCAGAAAGAGCAGACTTTATGGATACATTTAAATGTTGAGATACAATCAAAAAATTTACCTACCAGTTTCTCTATCAACTAAAACAAACACTAAGCTATTTAAACATTAGATTGATTTTTCTGAATTGAAAGTTTGCCTTATCTGAAATTTTATGCAAGTTAGCAAAAGGTGACTGTCTCTAAATTTCAAGTAAATTCCATCAAGTTAAAGTTTGCCTCTGCTCCAACAATGGGATTAAGTCCAGTAATATGAATGATAAATTGAGAAATGAAATGGTTGCAGTAGATATAAACTGTAACAAAATCTCTTCTCATTGTCAACCAAAATTTCCTAAGCAGTTCCTTAAAAATAAGAGGAGAGTTGACCCTGCTATCTGAATAATTCTTTCCATTTATATTCTCTACCTGCTTAATTACATTTAATATTTTTTTCCTGAGCAAAAGTTCCTAATCTTTAATTCTGTCATAGCTACTTTACTTTTTCTGCAAAGATTAGAGAAATGTCAGAAAACCAAGAACTGATAATGCTTACAGTTTATTTCATAACCTTTTTTAAAATAATAGTTACAATCTTTTCAAGAGATCATTTATTTTAAATTTTCCCAAATCATTTTTATTCAGATGTAGATTTTAAATTTTTTCAGAATAATATATTTTATCTGAGGATAAAATTTCAAAACCATTGCTTTAGCTTCAACAGTAATTGCTACTGATTGCTACCACTGTTACAATAATACCTGGACGTGCGTGTGCACATGCTTAGTCACCTCAATCATGTCCGACTTTTTGCCACCCCATGGACTGTAGCCCACCGGGCTCCTCTGTCCATGGATTCTCCAGGCAAGAATACTGGAGCGGATTCCCATGCCCTTCTCTAGGGGATCTTCCTGACCCAGGAATTGAACCCACGTCTCCTGCGTCTTCTGCATTGCAGGCGTATTCTTTCCTTCTGAGCCACCAAGGAAGCCCAATATTACCTGTATGTGATCTTATTTAAATCTCATAGCCGTCCTACAAAGTAACCACCTTTTAGAGCCAAGGAAGGGCTTCCCTGGTGGCTCAGATGGTAAAGAATCTGTCTGCAACGTGGGAGACCTGGGTTCAGTCCTGAGTTGGGAGGATCCCCTAGAGGAGGGCATGGCAACCAACTCCAGTATTCTTGCCTGGAGAATCCCCATGGACAGAGGAGTCTGGTGGGCTATAGTCCAAGGGCTGCAAAGAGTCAGACCCGACTCACCGACTAAGTACACACACACACAGGCAGAGAAAATAATAAGGTTAGATAACTAAGGCCATATGGACAGTCAATCAGGAAACAGGGAACTAAAGCAGCCATTTCTGAGATACCGAAGCCTAAGTATAGGAAAATCACACAGCACGGTCAGCTGACATCTGAACATCCCCAGAATAACAACAAAATCTTGAGGAAACAGCCTCTAGTGTCAGTGTGTAAAAATACTGTGGCCTATTATACTGATCGGGGGTGTTGACTTAAATTATATAGTCACAACCTGAAAGTAGAGAGCTGTTCCATTTGATGGGAATCTTTAGGACTTCAAGGAAGGCAGCATCTCAAGTAGCCCTGAGAAACTGCTCTGAGAAGGTAGGGGAGGGGTCAGATTATATAAAAGTTTGCAATGAAGGGAGCAGATAGTCTGAACATTGAAGATTACTGATAATTAAGGAAAACCAGAGATCTCAAGGTAAGGAATTTAGCCCTCTTCTATGTATGGGAGAAGAGGGCATGACAGCCCACTCCAGTATTCATGCCTGGAGAATCCCGTGGACAGAGGAGCCTTGGCAGGCTACAGTCCATGGAGTTGCAAAGAGTCGGACACAACTGATGTGACTTAGCAGGCACACGTGCCTGTCTGGGAAGATGCAAGCGTCTGGACTCACTGAATTCATTCCTTTCACATGCACCTCAGCTATCTGGGGCCAGTAACCCTGCGTTTTCACATCCCCAGCTGCCCACCCCCTCACTCTTGTCTGTAGGGAGTGTCATGTCGGCAGCTATCTCACAGGGATTGTTCTTCCTTTTGGGGGCCCTCTGAGTTGAGAAATTCCCATTTGGAGGGCCAGAGTCATAGATGGCTGTGACATCCTTGTTTATTAGATATGGCAGGAGATACTCCATTTTAGTGACTTTTTAAAATTTGGTTTTTTACTTTGCATTCTTTTTCTTCAGTCGCTGGCAATCTTTCTGCTGCATTGTCAGTGTTGGTAGCTGGCTTCTTTGAAACACACAGAAAGCACTTCCCTCCAGTGGAGCAACCTCTTTCAGGCAAAGCTGTCACCGTCTCCTCCATGCCCTGGTCCCACCTGGTTCTTCAGTACGTTTTACTCGGAGTGGCTGAAACCCTGGTCAACCCAGCCTGTGAGTAATAATTTTTTTCACCTCCTGTTGGAACATATTGAGTCTTCACTCAGAGTTCATCGCCTCACGTGGTCGGAAATCTGATCCTGCCCCAGAAATTTCCCACAATGCTTCAGAACAAGCTTATGCCTCGCCCTCATTTAAAAAGAAATTACAATTTCTCTTTGTTCCTTTGCCACATACAGACAATGATTAATCCTATCTGAATGTTGATAGGATGGAATGGAAGATTTACTAATCCGGTTAAAGGTAGCAATCATTTGGTCAGATACACAACAGGAGAAAATTCTGCTAAAACCTAGAAGACAAGACCGATATGTAACCTTTCCTCTGATCTGTTCCCTTCCCTCTTCCCACCCTCTCCCTCTCATTCATAGATAAACTCACTTATATACTCCCTCCAAAAATGACATGTGTAGTGTACGTTGAGAGTATATAAACATGCAAATGAAATAAGTTTAAGCCAGTTTTCCAGACAACTCAGTGTCTTTAAATTAAATGACACTAAATTAAGTGTGATCACTAATGTTTCATAAGACAGGTTCAAAATAACTTTATTAAGTATCAAGGGTTTTCTGTATCATCTAGATGCTGATATTAATTAAACTAGCCACTTCAAAATTCATCTAAGTATTTCAGTGACTTCTTACAAAACTGCAATATGTATGTGTGAGTGTGTATATACATACCAGTGTGATATACTGCATTTTATGTTTCTGTCTTCCCTATAAGTTCCCCACACAGAGAATCCTGATGGTAACGCAAGCCAATTATACTTTACCAAAATTACTTTTAAAACTTCCTGACTCTCTTCCTGCCTCTAATGTCTCTCCCATTCTATCTGCTCAACTAAACCTTTTGAGCAATTTTCATAGATGACAATTCTAACTAATTCTCTTGTCTAAAATCTTCAATTATTCTATTATCTTCAATTATTCTTAAATTCCTCAAAGCAATATACATATATATATATTTAATATATATGCACACATACATATACATGACATCAAGATAATTCTTTTTAAAAAATCAAAATAAAATTAATTGTGTAATTACAGCCATATGTGTACATTAGACTTCTTTTTTATAATTTTAACTCATTTCATTCACATGAAATAAATAATTTTATGAGATTCTAAGATGTGGCTATCACTGTATGACACTAAAGAGAATACGAAAAAAAAATAGAAAAGAATGTCACCACACAGATGTTTGTGACTTCCCTGATGTTTCCAGAAAATTGTTGGAAGTAGTCAGCTGACATTTTCTAGGCAATGAATGAAGGTGATGAGTGAATGCTCATGTGCTCAGTTGTTAAGTCAGGTCCAGCTCTTTTGCAACCCAATGGACTATAGCCTGCCAGGTTCCTCTGTCCATGGGGTTTTCCAAGCAAGAATACTTGAGTGGGTTGCTATTTCCTCCTCCAGGGGATCTTCCTGACCCAGGGATCAAACCCAAATCTCCTGTCTCCTGCAATGCAGGTGAACTCATTACTGCTTGAGTCATCAAGGAATCAATGAAGGTGATGAGTGAATACAGTCAGGAAATTCCCAGCCAGCTAAGCAATTGTGGTTCAACATTTGAAAGCCAGAGAGGTACTTTTAACCAGAGAGTTAAAAAAGCAGATCATGTCATATTAAGCGCTTAGTCCATCCATCCCTGATTTCCCATCTGAAAACTGAGGTCCAACTAAAGTCCACTGACTTTTCCTCTATAGAGCTCATGGGACAAGGAGCAGAAGATTTCATTTTAATTTCCAGACTTGTTATTAACTACACATGTGACCTTAAAAATCCACTTAACCACTAAGCTTCACCTTTTAGACCTTTAAAATGGAAATACTTATAATTCTTCCTCATATCACAGCATCGGTGTAACAGTCAATGGGAATGAAACCTACTCCTGAGAATTAAATGACATAAAATGTGAGAGGGTGTTTTGAACTATGAAATCAAGAATCATTCTTCTGGAAGGCAGTATGGCATAGTTGTTAATATCCATGAATCTTAAAGTCAGGCAGAACTGAATTCAAACCCAGTTCAGCCACTGACTAGTTGTGTGACCTTGGCAAAATTACTCTGCATTTCTGAGCCTTTCTCATCATCTCTAAAATGAGGAAGGGATGTTGTAAGGACTAAGTGAAATATTTCATGTAAAGGAAAAATCAAAGTGTACATAGACAATATATAGGATAGACTGCACTCACCATTAACAATTGTATAGCTTCCCTGGTGGCTCAGATGGTAAGAATCTGCCTGCAATGGGGGAGGTCTGGATTTGATCCTTGGGTTGGGAAGATCCCCTGGTGGAGGGCATGGCAACCCACTCCAGTATTCTTGCCTGGAGAATCCCCAAGGACAGAGGCGCCTGGTGGGCTACAGTCCATGAGGTCGCAAAGAGTCAGACACGACTGAGTGACTAAGCATAGCACAGCACATGTGTGCTGTTATTATTGTTACTATGCTTCAGGTAAATTAATAGTCCAAGACTCAGGGCTCAAGCACAGATGTCTGGCTCACAAGTCATAGTAGAAAACCACACCTCCCACAACTTGAACATCAGGAGATCTGATAGTGGGAGCAGTATTGTGTCTTTGTTACCAGTCATTCAAAGTCCCTTTTTTCTTCTTACTTCTCACCTCCAATCCAACAGCAAGTCTTAGTCTTAACTCTGAAATATAATTTAAATCTGGTCCTGACTCATCATCTCCTTTTCTATTCACCTGGTCTCTAATCCCAGTTCCTTTTTTTCCCCATGTACACTTCTTATTTAAAAAAAAAAGAAAAGAGTTAATATTCCAGGGATATAGTGGACTTAGGTGTGAGTTGTTTAAAATATTTTTAATAAACATCACTGCTGGAAAAACAGTATATAAATACACAGGTGGGAGTGTGTCTGGCAAGAAAATACAAGGAGTCTCATGCAGTTGGAGGAGTGAGGAAGAGATAAACTGGCAAGGTGTCAAACTTATTTTTGCTCTGGGGGGCCCAGGTTCGATCATTTGTTTGGGAAACTAGATCCCACATGCCACAACTAAGAATTCACATGCCACAGCTAAAAAATCCTGCATGCCACAACAAAAGAAGGAAATGGCAGCCCACTCCAGTATTCTTGCCTGGGAAATCCCATGGACAGATGAGTCTGACAGGCTACAGTCCATGGGGTCGCAAAGAGTCAGACACAGCTTAGAGACTGAACCACCACCACCATGCTGCAATGAGACCTGGCACAGTCAAATAAATAAATAAAATAAAATTTTTTTAAATGAATTGGTCACCAGGGTTATGTGGTTTTCTCTAGCTCCATCAGACTGCGTGAATCTAGGAGCAGATAGTGAATTGTCTTGCCAGTCAATTTCCAGAAGGCAAGAGAGAGGCAAAGAAATGGAACGTGGAAGAATATGATTCTAATAGTTGACCGTGGAACTTAGCTTGGATAAAAAGAGTAGTGAGAACATGTAGGGTATGAAAGAGGTGAAAATAATGACAGGAGTGATGGACTGGAGGCCCTGAACGAGGACAAGCGTTCTGATGGTTGAGTCATCGAGAGTAAGCTGGGACGATGGAAGGTGGTCGCCAGAGGCCAGTGCACAAAGTTGAGATTATGCATCAGTGACAGTTACTACTCTGGGGCGTGCGTTGGCAAACTTTTTCTTAAAATTTTCAGATAGTAAGTGGCTCGGTTTTGCACTCGTTTCTGGTGCAACTGCTGAACTCTGTCACTGTGGTATATAAGCCATCAGAGATGACATACAGTGAATTGGGCTGTGTCCCAATAAAACTGTATTTATAAATAGGTGGCAGCTGGCCCTTACCTGACCGTAGTTCACCAACCCCTGGTCTGAGGTACAAGATTCAGCATGTGTCCATAGGTGTGAGTGGCCAAGGTCAAGTGGGGGACAAGGACATTGGAAAGGGGGCCATGGAACTGAAAAACCAAGATATGACAGAATGGAAAGTTGGAAAGATGATCTATATGTATGTGTGTGTTAAAATTGCCAGGGGACTTCTCTGGAGGTCCAGTGGTTAAGACTTCACTTTCCAATTCAGGAAGGTTGAGTTCATTGGCAGACTAAAATCCCACATGTGTTGAAGCTAAAAAATAAAAATAAAACAGAAGCAATATTGTATAACAAATTCAACAAAAACAGAAATAGTCTGCATCAAAAATATATGTATTTTTTAAAAACTGCCAAGAATTAAGGCAGAAGTGGAACCAGAGAGTGTAACCATGACAGGGGAGCTGATGAGTTTGAAAAATACAAAAAAGTGTCACAAAGATTGGCAGCTGACAGCAAAGAAAAGAAATATTAGGTGATCAAACCAGGTAACATGAGATTCAAAGTTGAAGATTTTGTAGACATCAGGGAGGAATAATGATCTGAAAATGGTGGTAGCATAAAGTTCCAATTTATAGTTCTGCCATACTTCTCCACATGTTCAAAACAAACCCCTCACCAAAAGCAATAAACACATTTTAACTGTTTAAGAACAAGTGAAGTAAAAGAAATTTCCAGGAATGAGTCTCCAGTACCAGCTGCCTGAGGAAGGCAGTTACGGCTCTATAGTTTGTAGATTCCACGTAAACTGTGATGGGGCATCTCTGCAAACACTACAGTCTCCACCTGGAGACACATTTCAACTCGCTCTTTGGCAACAAGACCAGTTTTCCCGTACACTGTATATTTTTTCCTGTGTCCTCACAGTAAAATGATCTTCCCTGGTGGCTCAAGCAGTAAAAAATCTGCCTGCAATGCTGCTGACTCAGGTTCGATCCCTGGATCTGGAAGATCCCCTGGAGAAGGGAATGGCTACCTTTCCAACTATTCTTGCCTGGAGAATTCCATGGACAGAGGAGCCTGTTGGGCTACAAAGTCCATGAGGTAGCAAAGAGTCAGACACAACTGAGCGACTAACACTTTTCACAGTAAAATGAGGATTTTAGAATAGTGGCAGACTTGTTGATTACATCTATACTACAGTATGCTCAAAGAAATATCATGGAATCTAAAACAATCAAGTCGATGATCACCAAAGTCAAAAAAGATCAAAACACACACAAGTAGATGCCTGAAATTGGAGATCGGAGGACTTGAAAAGCGGAGTCCTATAAAAGGGACCAGAGGTTTTCAAAACGAGGAAAATGACACCAAAGAGAGATTAACCAGCAGGCAGAGAGCTGGCAAAGTGTGCTCATGAATTATATACCGCACCAGAAGTTCTAGCAAGAGAAAAGCGCGGGATTAATAATTAACTAGCAAAGTAATAATGGGCCCGAACGTTCCGCTTTTTCTCACTGAAAGAAATCGTCCTACTTCATCTTCCTGCCCATTGTTTGTCTCCTCGTATTTAGAAAGAGGAAAGTTCATCAGCCAAATCCTTTTTGTAACTGAGTCCTTCCTGCCCAAAGCCTCTTCAGCGTTTCTCTCTTGCCTTTCCTTTGGATCTTCCAGAGAAAACTTGCAAGCTTGGCCTCAAACTCCTGCAGGTAATTTGCAGGGCACAAGACAGCTCTGGAACCAACATCTCCTGCTGCCAATATTTGAAGCCTTTCTTCATAGTATTTTATCATCATCATTACCTTAATGTCCAATAATATTTGGGATATTAAGCACCTAGTTAGTGCTGCCCTTAGTATTACGCATATTTCTGCGCTCTGCCCTTCAGAGTTTAAAATCCAGGAAAGATATACTGATGCTTTCTCCCACCCTCAGCCTTAGTACTTCAGCACATCTGAAGCACAGAGATTCCTTTAAATGTTTATTGAATGATAAATAAAAACACGTGGAGAACACATTGAAAGCAAAATGAAAACATTAAATAAATACAGGAAGGAATAGTAATACATTTACATTAAGTATTAGTAAGTTCATTTAAAAGTGCTGGTCAAGGGACTTCCCTTGTGGTCCAGCAGATAAGAATTTGCCTTCCGATGCAGGGATGCAAGTTCAATCCCTGGTCTGGGGACTAAGATCCTACACGCCTCAGGATGGCTAAGTCCATTCGCCACAATGAAGACCCAGGCAGCCAACAATAAAAGTAAATTAAAATTTTTAAAAAGTGCTGGACAAATGCAGAGTTTTACTGGGAAACTAGGAGTGAAGTCTTCCTGAAAGGGAAGGGGGAAGATAATTAAATTTCATTCTTTGTAGAGACAGTGAAACTAAAAGTTTAGTGTTCATGGCATATCAGTTTTCTATCACCACCTTTCTTTTTAAAAAGAACTTCAATATTTATTTGCATTCTCTCATTGCAGAAAAATTTGCTAAGTACAAAAGAGTAGGAAGAAAAATTAAAAATCCAATCATTCAGCCACTCAGAGCTAAAACCGTTCATATTATTTAATGTGTTTCTTTACAATTTTTTGCCACTTATATACAAAAGAGAGAGATTAGTACAATAAACTCCCATGTATTCACATTCCAGCTCTAATAATTTTCTACACATGGCCCAAACTGTCTCATATCTACCTTCATTCACATAATGTCTTCCTCTTCATGATATAATTACGAAGCAAACAACAGGTATCAAATTATAATAAATACTATAAAGATTTTAATTTGTATCCCTAAGATGGCTATTCATAATTATGTTGATGTGGAATGTATACAATTATATATGCTTACTTCATTTATTTCTGATATCAAAAAATTATGTTTAACTGAAATTTAAAATAAAAACTTTCCTCCATAATTTTCTTTTCACCCCTTACCACCATCATTACTACTATTCCAACAATGACTTGGGAGGAAAAAGATAACCATTCTGGAAACCCAATGCTTAAGCTACTGCCTCTCCTTAAATGGGATATTTAAATGCATATAAAAATAAATAAAAAGGGAATTCCCTGGCAGTCCAGTGGTTTAGACTCCACACTTCGACTGATGAGGGTCTGGGTTCAATCCCTGGTTGGGGAACTAGGATCCCGCAAACCATGAGGTGCAGCCAAAAAACAAATTTTGTAATGCATATAAAAGGATTTGCACAGTGTCTTGCACAAATAGGGGATATTTTATTTGGTAAAATTAATATTGTTACAAATAGCTAACCTTATTCAGTTCTTGTATACATTATAGCAAATAACAGTCATACACTTCAAACAAGTGCATTCTGAATGACCTGAATACCATTTCATAGAGAAGAAGACTAAGGCTTGAGAAGTTTAAGTAAAGAATCTGCTTACCAAGCAGGAGACATGGGTTTAATCCCTGGGTCGGAAAGATCCCCTGGAGAAGGAAATGGCAACCCACTCCAGTATTCTTGCCTGGAGAATGCCATGGACAGAGGAGCCTGGCGGGCAACAGTCCACAGGGTTGCAAAGAGTTGGGCATGACTTAGTGACTAAACAACAACCTAAAATCACAGAGGTAATACATATCTGAACCAGGATTTTATCATAAGCTTATCTAAGTCCAGAGCTCATGTTGTTCTCCACCATGCTAGTTTTCTATGATAGATTGAGATTTCCACGGGGAATCTAATAATGTATATAGGACAACAGAATCATAGAACTTACTGATATCATCATGATACTATCCAGTACAAGGCTTTCTAGGTGGTGCTAGTGGTAAAGAATCCACCTGCCAATGCAGGAGATGTAAGAGGCACAGGATGGATCAATCCCTGGGTCAGGAAGATCCTCTCAAGGCAGGCACAGCAACCCACTCCAGTATTCTTATCTGGAGAATCCCATAGACAGAGGAGCCTAGTGGACTTCAGTCCATGGGGTCACAAAGGGTCTAATACAACTGAAGCAACTTAGCATGCATGCATGATACTCTCCAGTACAAGGCTTAGCTCAATCCAAAATCCATAAGAAATATTCAAACTGAAGTATAACTTTGGTGAATATTTGGGACACTCAACCACCTAGCAATTAAATTTTCCTTATGGCTATATAGGAGTGTATTTTGCCACATTTTATTCCTTGTAGATATCTGTAAACTGTAACATCATACTATCAGTTCAGTTCAGTCACTCAAGTCATGTCTGACTCTTTGTGACACCATGGACTGCATAACTCCAGGCTTCCCTGTCCATTACCAACTCCCTAAGCTTGCTCAAACTCCTATCCATTGAGTCGGTGATGCCATCCAACCATCTCATCCTCTGTTGTCCCCTTCTCCTCCCGCCTTCAGTCTTTTCCAGCATCAGAGTGTTTTCCAATGAGTCAGTTCTTCGCATCAGGTGGCAAAAGTTTTGGAGTTTCAGCTTCAGCATCAGTCCTTCCAATGAATATTCAGGACTGATTTCCTTTAGGATTGACTGAGTGGATCTCCTTGCAGTCCAGCGGACTTTCAAGAGTCTCTCCAACACCACAATTCAAAAGCATCAGTTCTTTGGCACTCAGCTTTCTTTATGGTCCAACTCTCACATCCACACATGACTACTGGAAAAACCATAGCTTTGACTATACAGACCTTTGTCGGCAAAGTAATATCTCTGCTTTTTAATACACTGTGTAGGTTTGTCATAGTTTTTCTTCCAAGGAGCAAGCATTTTTTAACATCATAATATATGTTACTCTAGTAATGTTAACAAAAATGAAGTGAAAGTCACTCAGTCATGTCTGACTCTTTGCAATCCATGGACTGTACAGTCCATGCAATTCTCCAGGTCAGAATACTAGAGTGGGTAGCCTTTCCCTTCTCCGGGGAATCTTCCCAACCCAGGGATCAAACCCAGGTTTCCTGCATTGCAGGTGGATTATTTACCAGCTGAGCCACAAGGGAAGCCCAGTGTTAACAAGGCCCAACAGAAATTTTACCTGCATCAGTAAACTTTCTTTGAGGTATGATCAATGCCGATTTGAAGAATATCTATACTTTTACTTTAGAGAGAATTTTCTATGAACTTATGGTTGCTAAGAGGAAGAATGGAGGGAAGGGATAGTTAGGGAGTTTGGGATCAATATATACACACTCCTGTATTTAAAATAGATAAACCACAAGGACTTACTGTATAGCACAGGGAACTTGGCCCAATGTTATGTGGCAGCCTGAACGGGAGGGGAATTTAGGGGAGAATGGATGCATGTATATGTATGGCTGAGTCCCTTTGCTGTTCATCTAAAGCTATCACAACACTGCTAATTGGCTATACTCCAATATAAAATAAAAAGTTTAAAAAAAGAAATAATGTTCTATATTCTGAACTTTTGTCTTCTCAGTCTCTGTAATATACAGATTTGTTCCAAGTACCATCAGAGGAACCTTTATGAATTGCTTGACACTGACCAGTGGATTTGCCTGTTTCATGGGGGCACTGCTGTTGGAGTTGGTCTACCTCATCTCAGAAGGTAAAAAATAGTTCCATGTTTCGCTTATATATATATTGATTTGATGACTAGAGAATTGAGAGACAAAACCTTAAGAGAGGCTTTGCCAGTGTAGTCTTTTTTTTTTAATTGATCCACTTTTGCAATTAAGATAGAATTAAGATAGGAAATAGACTCTTGCTGTATTCATTAATTTCTGGGAATTGTTTTTCTTTTGATAGGAGGAGGTAATTACAGAATGTCACTTCTCATGAGACCCTGTCTGCTGTCTTTCTTTATTGTACTTTAACGCGAACTGGTCATTATATTCTTATTAGGTTTCTCAACAGGGCTGTATTCAACAAGGGTCATAGATAACCCTCTGAAAAGGTAAGTCCTGTGCGAATATAGGAGGATGGGGGCATCTGGATGATCCTTTATCCAGAAATATAGTCTGTGCAACCAGAGAGAAATTATGAGTTGAATTGGAAACATTTCCCAGTAGCTATTTTAGTCAGAAGAAACAACCAATCTGAAAAAGTCACATGCTACATAAAAAGTATTCTTACATGGGCTGGTAGAAAAATCAAACAGGATAACATTAGAGATTAACTGTCATGACACATGTCCTTGGCTATATTTTAAATCTACAGACTTTTTCCTTTATTTGTTCTGAGATGTTAATACATCTTAAAATTTATTAAATTTGCTTGTGCTTATTTTATGAGAGATACTGAAAGCTTATTGTTCTCTCCTTTCAAAAATACAATATATTTAAAAAATGTAAACAAATATTCATATTCTCTACAAATAAATTTAACTTACCTACTTTCCAACTGTGGAAAAAATAAATTCTATGAATGAGAAACTCCTATTAACACTAGGTATCCATTCAAAAAATATTTATGGAGGATCCAGTCTGTTCCAGGTACCATATTGGATACTAGAGATACCATGCCAAGAAAAATTAACTTCCAGATTGTCACAAAATTTCCAGGGGTGTAGGGAAGCAATAAAATTGAGTAACAAATTAAATGATAGGTATAGTAGAGTTCAAGGAACGAATCTATAGTCTTTGATAGTTAAGATCAAACCCTGTTCTTAGTTAACTGTGAAAGTTAAGCCAAAGTATGTAATGAGTAATTACCATATGCCAGGCTCTACGTTATTAATACATGGAATTATGTGAGACATGGTTCCAGTTCTTAAGAGCTCACATTCAAACTGTCATAACTAAGTGTGAACAACAGAATTTGTTGACATCTCTGATGATCGGAGTCTTTAAATGTAAACAAAGTCTAGAACATTGGTATTAGGATTTTATAAGATAGCTTGGAAAAATCTTACCAATACCTCTACCTAAACATCTTTTGATAAGCTGGCTATAAATGTGGAGATTCCCCACAGACTCCCCCTCAGAACTGATAATTTGCTAGCAAGTGCAATACTTGTGATTACAGCTTTATTATAGCAAAAAAATACAAATCAAAATGAGATAAAGGCAGAGATGCATGAAACAAGGTCTGGGAAGGTTCCAGAAACAAAGCTCGTTTCATCCTCAGAGATGTGGCACCCAACTGGCACATCAGTGTGTGATAATACACAGAGCACTGCCACCCAGGAAAGCTTACCTGAACTTCAGTGCACAGTTTTTATTGAGGTAGAGTCTTCCCTGGTGTCTCAGACTGTAAAGAATCTGCTTGCAATGCAGGAAGACCCAGGTTCGATCCCTGGGTCAAGAAGATCCCCTGGAGAAGGAAATGGCTACCCACTCCAGTATTCTTGCCTGGAGAGTCCCATGGACAGAGGAGCTTGGTGGGCTACAGTCCTTGAGTTCACAAAGAGTCGGACACGACTGATTGACTGACACTTCTCTCTTATGTGGGCAGGATTGACTAAACCATTGGCCATGTAGTTCAACTCAGTCTCCAGCCTCTCTTCTCTCTCCAGAGACTGGGCTGATACCTACCCTGTGGCCCAAAATCCCAACCCTCTAACCCTATAGTTGGTCTTCTAGGCTTGCCAGCTCCCATTCTGAGTCTCGCCATTAACAAAACCATCAGGTGGGGCTTCACAAGCCAACCATAAATAACAAAGACCCTTCAGTCACTTGGGAAATTCAGAGATTTTAGAGTTTACCTCCCAGGAACCAGGAAGAAAGGCCAGACAATTTCATTACATACAACTGTTCTTGCAAATATATTTTACTGAAAATCTATTTTTACTGAGAATCTGCATAGTATGGTAGGATCTGTTATATAACATTACTGGGTCTATTACAACAATCTCATAAAGTTGACAAAGCAGCTACTCTCTAGTTGCAGTGGGCAGGCTTCTCATTGCAGTGGCTTCTCTCCTTGCAGAGCAGGGGCTCTAGGGTGCATGGGCTTCAGTAGCTGCAGCACATGGATTCAGTAGCTGTGGCTCCTGGCTCTAGAGCTCAGGCTCAATAGTTGTGGCACATGGGCTTAGGTGCTCGACAGCATGTGAGATCTTCCCGGATGAGGTATGGAACCCACGTTTCCTGCATTGGCAGGCTGATTCTTTACCACTGAGCCACCATGAAAGCCCAAGAGTTTATATATAGTTTTGGCAAAGTTTGGTGCCCGTTAAAGGAGGTCTACCAAGAACATATAGTGAGGACATCTTAGCATCATACAATGTGACGCAGAGGGGAGGAGCAGTCTTTAAACTAATATTGAAAAGAACATCATTTAAATTACTGCTAATTGATTTAATTTACTTCTTTAAAATATTTTTCTATTCATACTAATACTGTGCTACATCAAGTCATAGCCTAATCAGTTAGAATCTTGCAATTGGATGTCACTGTGGAGGTCATCTAATTTAACACTGTACCAAAAACTAGAAGATGCACAATCTTCTTCTAGTGCCCAGGAAATGTTCTCTACTTTGAGAAGTAACCCATCTGTTGATAAATATATTTCCCAGAATAAACCTAGTTTTTCTGTCCACATGGCAACTCTTCAAAACATTCAATAAATATTTGGGACAATAATGTACAATGTTAAAAGAGAAGGGTCCAAACTCTATGGATTCCAATCCAGGTATTCTAGTTGTGTGTCCTCAGTTTTCATGTCAATAGCAATAATAAATAATTCATTATGTTGCTGAGAGGATTAAGTAATTAATATGCATAATACGTATTCAATAAAGATAGCTATTTTGACTCCCTTCTAATATATAGACAAACCACTCCAATTTTTTTCATAGTACATGATTCCCTGATTTTTCATTGTCAAAACCCCTCTGTCTTAATGGATAGATATCAATTTGTCAGTATCGTTCTTAAAATATAGTTTCCAGACTCAATCACAAGGCTCAAAATGGGTACATCCAAGATAGATATGTTACTTTTATCAACATTCTCAATCTCTCTCTCTGTTGGCATTTTTAATAGCATGCCAACAGAGATTGTAGTTACTTTTTCAATAGTTGCATCACACCTATGTTCGATTAAAACCTGAAGCTTCTTTTTTTATTTTTAGCAGTTTCTCTCAGTTCAGTTCCAATCATCTTATCACAATTTCTTTGTCTAATTAAATGCAGGACTTTATCTCTTCTCCTTTAAAAATGTCAGCCCATCATTCTAAATAACAGTTTAAAAACTTGATTCTGTCATCTGGTGAATTACTGGTCTTTACTTCTTTACCAGCTTGTGTCACTGGCAAATTTAGTAAGCAAGTTCCTAGACTTCTTTCAGGTAATTGATAAAATTGTTGAATTGGACAGGAACAAAAGCAGAGACTTGTGGAAAATTCCTAGAGACCTCACTGTAAGTTAATGGTAATTAACTAATCCTCCCCTTTTGGATATAATTAGCTGCCTCTTCACCTAGTTACTATCATTGAGCCCACATGCTTCTCCATCATTCCCAGAATGACATCACAGGAGACTTTTGTCACATGGTTTTTTCTGGGGGTAGATACATCTGAGTTTGTGACAGTCACTTTAGCCATCAGATTAGCATTCATCAAGAAAGGCAATGAAGTTCATTTAGATTTTATTTTAGTGACCCTAAACTGACTTATGGTGACTAATTAGGGCCCCTAAAAGAGAGTCATCCTTAGCCTATCTGCATGATTTCAGGTAGGACACCATCTCATTAAGAATGTTTAAAAAAAGGAAATGCTGCACTTCACTGTTCTCAGAGATGATGAGAAGATAAAGTTAAATAATGTATTTGAGCATTTTAATATTAGAGATTATTTTAAATATAGAATAAAGCCATAGTGGCCCATTCAGTTAGAAATAAGATCAGTCTGTTTAATCAAACAACCAGACCAATTTCTTTGACAGAACTGAACATTATGAAAAAGAACTCTATAGCTCTATGTTTAAGCATCCCACAAGCCTCCACATTCCATTTAGCATATAGGATATTTTAAATCTTTAAGGATTCATGTCAGCAGAGCGTGTGTGTATGTGAGTGTGTGTGTGTGAGTGTTAGCGTATGATTGGAAAAGATGATCAGTTATCACAGTCTCCAAGCTGCATTAGTCATTTTTAGCACCATGATGGAGAATGGTGTGAATGCGGTAAATTCAAAAGATTTCTCAAAACTTGACGGTGCAGACAGATAGCTGTTAGAGTGACATTTTCAGTACAAGTGAGAAAACTGATGCTTCTGGGATCTCTAACTCTAAGTGCCTTAAAGGAGTAGATACAAGACTAAACCCATCCTCCTACACTAATCATTTCAGAAATAGTTTATCTAAAAGTAGCAATGCTAATAAAAAGGGAGTGAAGAAGTCAGTCAAACTGCTTATTTCGACTCTGTGCCATTAGCAACCAGATCAATTTTCTCACATGCGTGAGCACAAGCTTACCTTCTGACAAAAATAACAAAATGGGAATTCAGTGAAAAGTGACATCTTAGTTACGGACGGGGAGGTGATTGAAAGATCCAAAGCAGAATGTCTCAGAGAAAAAAAGGATAATTGGACAGAATCAAGAGGTCAAGGTATACATCTTCCTGTCCCTGTTAGTCCTTCCTCTTCAGAGTTCAGCAAAGGGGCAGAGAACGTAGCAGTTTAACACCCATCAAGAGCCATATTAAAATAAAACTGTGATCTTTTAAAATTCTCATTTAAATTTCTCTGATGATTGAGACCACTGACAGCCTTGTCGGCATGAATCACTGAGTTGTTCTTGAAATGGGAATTTGCAGTTGCAGTAAACTTGAAAGAAGAAAATATTTATGCATCTGGAAAGCTATTCAGCTGAATTTCACAGGTCTGCACCTATTTTCTTAGAGATAGGTTTCTTCAAACTCAGGTCAGTGCCTAAGGTCCAACTTCATATGGGTTTTGAAATGACAGACCCAGAGGGGAAAATGGCTTGCAATCCAGTAATTCACCTATGTTGTT